GCAGTGGGTATTTCTCAAACTCAACCCACCAACAGTGCAGCTACTTTGTCAAATAGAATTAGCCGTCTCGTCCAGCCTGACGAAGAATCCAAATCCCCGGCAAGTTCTCGGCAGCTCAATACAACTGAACATGACCTCAATGTAGGTACCGAAAACACGGTACACCCTGAGCCCGTATCTGCGTGTCTTGCTTCAACCGAAGCGAGTCCGATTGCAGATAACCAGTCAGCAAATTTAATGAGTGAGACTCTGTCTACAATAGTGGATATGATGCCTGTGCTGGATGATACACTCGCTAATCATTTACTGGATATCGCGTCTAAATTTTCGAAGCATACACCTGGAAAATGGCCTCTGCTACTCGCCGAATTTCGGCGATTAAAACCCCAGTCTGTGATATCGCAAAATGCACTGCGCAAGCGTCTAGAGAAATACCAAAAGCGAAAGCATCCTGGCCCAGAAGCTGTAACCACGCCAGCAGTTAAATTGCCAGTTCTTAACCAAACGGAAACCACAGCGTCTGTAGAAGCAACCCCCAATAAACGGCCACCACCAGTATGCAGCAGTTGTCGAGAACGCAAAAGAAAATGCGGGCCGTCCAGCACTAACCCACAGTGCGAACGTCGCAAAAGTGCTCAACACACACCGATATCTTCATTTTTCAGTCAAACTTGATTTAGCCGTACGTAATTTAGTCTACATGTTATGCAATACGCACTACACAACAAACCACAATATAATTTGTTACCACAAATATTTGATAGCAGCCAAACTTAAGATAAGTACCGTTGAGCTCACACATCGCGCTGTCGAGCTTCTTGACCATCACTACCAGTAACTACAAGCAAAATCAGCGCTCCATACAGTTCCCTACACGTTGCACGCCGTCTACTAGAGCATAGAGTCCAGATTGCAACGTCATAGCCGCCTTTTCGTCTTGGGGACGATGCTTCCCGGTGTCTACAAGCAGACACATGGCTTACAGCTTCGTTGCATGAGCACTACAGCCACAGACAAGCTTTTAGTAGATTAGAAAACGCTTATGCATACCACCTAAATAATGCTTCTTTGATCAGTTAGCACGCCGACCATGTGACCTCCATCTCAAGCTTCCTTACGAGCACTCGATATTGCGTACGGGATCGTTGCTGCGCTACTGAGTTTGCAGTAGCGCGCTGCTTTCGTCGATTTCCCCCGTAGTTCTTCTGCAAAGCAGAGTCGCCACAGTAAACAGGGGTCACGTTACGTTATACCCTCTAGATTTGGATTTTGTATCAATCGAGGGGGTGTCACCATCATCTCATATCGG